CTAGGTAACTTCGCGTTGCTTTTAGAAGAGTATTGTCTGAATAGACAACAGTTACCTTGTGATTCTTCACCGAGCTGCATTTTTCAAGTTGAAAAATCGGGTGCTGAAAGTGATGGATCTATAGATTTGTGAGAATTTGCTGCTGCTTCAACTTCTTTTTGTAATAACAATAACAGTCTATATGAAATTTAACAATTCTGTTTCTTCTTTGATTTTGAGTCACCCTGTAAATGTAGCTCTACTAAACTATCGGACCGCATTCATAGCCTACAAGAGAAAAAAATCTTCTATACTGGAAAGGAGGAAAAAAAGAATGTATCAACCTGATACATCTGCCCCTCTTTATAACCCGTGAAATAGCCCTAGTTCTAATTAAATTTCAGTTCAAGCTTCCAAAATGACTTCCAACAATATTAAAGTAGCCACAAAGATCAGACCAATGATCCACCGCGAAGTAGCCGATGGTCTAGAGCGTCTTTGGAACGTAAGAGTAAACTGCATATGGGAAGCCGATGAAAGTAGTCGCCATGGAGAGGTTTATATATTCGACCATGTATTTAATCAGGAATGTACAAATTCAGATGTATATGGATCTGTAGTAAAACCTTTAGTCGATTCCTTCATGGAAGGTTTCAATGCCACAATATTTGCATATGGCCAAACATCTTCTGGCAAAACACACACCATTTTGGGCAATAAAACAGATCCTGGGCTTTTCCAATTAGTATCCAATCAGTTATTCCAGCATGTGGCAGACCAGGTTGATAAGAGGTACTTGATTAGATGCAGTTATATTGAAATCTACAATGAAAAGATCAATGACCTCCTGGATAAGAGCAATCAGGGTTTAACTATGAGAAGATATCAAAGGAAATGTGCTGCTTGATGCAAGGGAAGCTGTCGTAGACAATGTTGATAAAGTTATGGAGAACATGATGCAGGGCAATAAGATCAGACGAGTTGCAGCTACTCGCATGAATGAGAGGTCATCTCGATCACACACGATTTTCCGGATTATTCTGGAGTCGAAAGATGCCAATCAGAAAGATGGACCTGTACATATAAGCTACCTTAACTTAATGGACTTAGCTGGTTCTGAGAGAGTTTCTCTGACGAAAGCTGCTGGTGAGCGTCTTAAAGAGGGGGCTAACATAAACAAATCTTTGTCAGTATTAGGAAATGTGATAAGGCAACTAAGCGAGGGGAAGGAGTTTATCAGTTATCGCGATTCGAAATTGACTAGACTGCTCTCACAGGCTCTTGGCGGTAATGCCAAATCATTGATTATCGGGAATGTTACTTTAGCTGCAGAGGAGGAGACTAGATCTACACCAGAATTCGCCCAAAGCACTAAAACTGTCAAAAATAAAACGAAAGTAAACATCTTGTCAGCTACAGAAGAGACACTTCAAGGATATCAGAACTTGACTCGCGATCTCGAAACTCGGCTCAAAAAGCAGGCAATTAAGCTAAAAGAGATGGATAAAAGCAAACAAGAGTATCTGCTCGAGATAGAAAGACTAAAAACGGAAGTATCTATTGTCGGGCGCTTTCAAATGGGAGCCTCGGCATCAACACCGAAAAAAACATTAAGACGTCATACTTTTGGACACTATGGCAACGTATCACCTAAAAAAGCATCCCTAGGGTATATGCCATTGAAAAATTATCCACCCAAAGAAGAATCATCCGGACGTGAAATGAGGCCTATTCAAGAAGAGACATATGAGGAGGCACTAGCCGAAGCAGAATCTGTGATAGCTGAAGACGTGCAAGTGTACTTAAAAGACAACTCAAAGAACTGGAAGAATCTTTCAATGAGCTTAGAGAATTCACTAAACTAGATAATCAGCTGGAGATTTTGGACCTGAAGAAACAGCTCACAGAAGCCAATTCTAAATTCGATCGTTACAGTCAGGAACTCCGCCAAGTAACGGATGCGTACAACGAAGAAATAGAAAGAGTTCAAAAAAATTCTCAAAAAGCGCAAGAATTTCATCGACTTGCAATACAGACTCGATTTTCTGGAAAAAAATAATAAAAAGACTAAAAACATACGAGTCAGAAATAGAGATGCTGCGTACTCAACTGAAGAACCTAGGAAGATCAGAGAGCCCTAAACCATCTCTTGAAGCTCAAAATATTGAGTCAAAAAAGAAGGTTGCAGACTTAGAAGCTATGCTTGACGCTGAGTACGAAGATATGCAACATTCTTTAAGTGCTGCTGCACAAACTGATGTAACGATGTCACACATTGCTGAACTGCAAGATGAAATTGGCTTCCTAAAAGAACTTGAATCTAAACTGAGAAATGACGTAAAGAGTCTGATGGACGAGAGTAACCAACGTGAGGTCAACCACTCATTTAAAATCTCAGATATACGATGCCATAATGATTCTACTATAAAAGAGCTTCAGGATCAAATGGCTGAACTGGAATGCCAAAACGAAATCTGGATTATGAAAAAGGACGACGAAATCAGAAAATTGCAACAACTAATTACAAACCCGAAGCAGGCTGGCACTTAACCAGAACCACCTGTGCAGGAAGACGTTGCATTTTATAGGGAGCAAGTTGAGTTCTCCCAGAACATGTACAAAAATGAGATAATAGGTGGAGAGTTACGTATAAACCATAGAGAAAATCTTCAGGCAGTTAAACTAGAAATATGTCTACCCTTGTTTAGTGTTTACGATTATTGCAGGGTTTGGACAAAGTTTAGGGCTGATCCCAGTGCTCACAGTGTACAATTTTCAGCTAATAAATCTTGAATTCTGAGGTAACAAAATCAACTAGAACTCTGAAAAAGTGATTTATCAGAAATCATGCCCTTACTTCCATGATAAGAGGGATTCGTAAAAATTATAAGCAGGTTGTGGCTTATTATCTAGTAAAAGATACAAGAATCCCAGATCTGAAAACGATTATTGTTCATGTGATCACAAACTAGCAGCGACTTGGTTTGTGCGTTGTTGGCACTATTTCTAATCAGGGCGCAACGATCAAAAACGCACTTGAGACGATTTGCTCGGAGAATACTCACGGATCAAGTCCATTCCATTTTATAGTCAATGCTCAGAGTATTTCTACAATTTGTGATGAACCACATTTATTCAAAAATGGATGAAATGCTCTTATTGACATTAATATGAAAGTGAAGAAGCTGCACAGATTGAACATGTCTAGAAATCATATAATGTTGATCAGCAAACAAGACCATACAAAGAGCCCAGCCACTTTGATTTTATAGATTCGTTCAAGAATATAGAAATTAATCCTTTAATGATATCGTCGGATGATTCGAGCTTTCTCAGTTATGTGGTGGGGGTCCCGTGACTTCTCATACGGTATGAGCACGTATACCTCAAACCACAGTTTAATTTAAACATCACAATTGTTGGTTTGTTGACTTTGCGGTCAAATTTGATCCGAGGATGTCAGTTGCGTGTACGATTTGAACTTCCTTCACAATGGATTTTTTCGTTGTTGACGGATGAACAATACACTATAGACTACGCCGAGGACGACGCTGCTATCGATCAACCTGAACAACTTCCTATGGGCGACCTCGCTATGCCTATGGAAAAAACATGTACAATTGGTCAAAACGAGCGCCTGCAACTGGTCGATTATTACGCATTTACCTGAACTAAAGTCCGTGGCAACCAATTTGGAAAATAATAACCCTGTGACTCGAGAAATGCCGATAAATTTCTCCAAATACGTGAAATTTTCGAGACACTCATAGAGAACTGTCGAAATTGTTATATTTCGGGTGAGTCCCCTACAAAATACGAGATGCTCGTGGGCCGATGTCCTTCCTGTGCCTACAAGAAAACTAAACCGAATAAGTATGGACTGATGATGCAAAGACTCACCACTACCTGCTCAATGCTTTCGTCTATACGAACAGAAATATCACAGCAGATGACTGGTTCACGTCAGTAGAATTACATGTAGAATTGCGCATCAACCAACTGACCTATGTCGGCAGGAAGCGTAAAAATAAGTAACAAGTACCCCAACATGTAGTTCCAAATAAGAAGGAAACACAGCCAGGTACTTCTAAGTTTATGTTGTACAGCCTTAGAGTAGTATCTTCCAAAACCAAATACACATGTTCTCGTATAGCAATCTATGCAGCATGATAACAAAATAGTAGAGGAATCAAAGAAACCTGATAAGATCCTATATTATTTTTTAACACTATGAAGGCGGGGGGTAATGCATTAGATCGGAAGTGTGTAAATTACAATACTGGTTAGAGAACGAGAAGATGGCCTTGTGCTATTTGGTATCCAACCAGCTTCTGTAAATTCCTTTTTTTTTCAGTCTGGGACTGAAAGTTCCATTAGGCGACGAAATTTTATTGTTCCCCTGAGGCAAACTCTAATTTAACTTCGTATGAGAGGACGTTTATCAGATCCAAGACTTCCTAGGGAGCTTCGTTCAGCCATGCAAAGAATCCTAAATTACCAACGACGAAAAAGTAAGCCGTCTACTTCTCAGCCCAGAGTTCTCGATCCTGATGCAGTTGTTAAAGAAAAAAAACGACGTAGGTGTTACATGACAATACACAATGAAAAAAATGTTCTACAATCTGTAATAAGTATGTAAAGTCACAGCGCACTTACATTGTTTCGTGAAAAGTGATAAATGTTAATTATTGTATGTTTCCTTATACGAGAAAGTATTTGTTTTTGTTGTAGAATATCAACACCAAATATGTTGTTAAATGGCCCATTTTGTTAGTTTTTTTATGTTCATATTACAGTTCAAGTTTCGAGGATTATATTTATTGCATTACTCATCTTCAATGGGGTATTTTCGTTTTTAGACAATAAACAGTTTTCATGTAAGAGTGTCTTATGCGTACAAACCTGTTGTACACATGGCTAAAAACAGTAATGGCATTTCAGATGTTGATAGTAAGATCCGGTGGATAACCTGTTTTGCGAGATTAGACGTGGGATTTCCAACACGAACACCATCTGTTTATTTGAAGCATTAAAAACTGTAATAATCAACAATTTCAGTTTTCCATTGACAATAATGAAGAATTATGAAGGCGATTCATGTAAGGCACTAGGTAACTTCGCGTTGCTTTTAGAAGAGTATTGTCTGAATAGACAACAGTTACCTTGTGATTCTTCACCGAGCTGCATTTTTCAAGTTGAAAAATCGGGTGCTGAAAGTGATGGATCTATAGATTTGTGAGAATTTGCTGCTGCTTCAACTTCTTTTTGTAATAACAATAACAGTCTATATGAAATTTAACAATTCTGTTTCTTCTTTGATTTTGAGTCACCCTGTAAATGTAGCTCTACTAAACTATCGGACCGCATTCATAGCCTACAAGAGAAAAAAATCTTCTATACTGGAAAGGAGGAAAAAAAGAATGTATCAACCTGATACATCTGCCCCTCTTTATAACCCGTGAAATAGCCCTAGTTCTAATTAAATTTCAGTTCAAGCTTCCAAAATGACTTCCAACAATATTAAAGTAGCCACAAAGATCAGACCAATGATCCACCGCGAAGTAGCCGATGGTCTAGAGCGTCTTTGGAACGTAAGAGTAAACTGCATATGGGAAGCCGATGAAAGTAGTCGCCATGGAGAGGTTTATATATTCGACCATGTATTTAATCAGGAATGTACAAATTCAGATGTATATGGATCTGTAGTAAAACCTTTAGTCGATTCCTTCATGGAAGGTTTCAATGCCACAATATTTGCATATGGCCAAACATCTTCTGGCAAAACACACACCATTTTGGGCAATAAAACAGATCCTGGGCTTTTCCAATTAGTATCCAATCAGTTATTCCAGCATGTGGCAGACCAGGTTGATAAGAGGTACTTGATTAGATGCAGTTATATTGAAATCTACAATGAAAAGATCAATGACCTCCTGGATAAGAGCAATCAGGGTTTAACTATGAGAAGATATCAAAGGAAATGTGCTGCTTGATGCAAGGGAAGCTGTCGTAGACAATGTTGATAAAGTTATGGAGAACATGATGCAGGGCAATAAGATCAGACGAGTTGCAGCTACTCGCATGAATGAGAGGTCATCTCGATCACACACGATTTTCCGGATTATTCTGGAGTCGAAAGATGCCAATCAGAAAGATGGACCTGTACATATAAGCTACCTTAACTTAATGGACTTAGCTGGTTCTGAGAGAGTTTCTCTGACGAAAGCTGCTGGTGAGCGTCTTAAAGAGGGGGCTAACATAAACAAATCTTTGTCAGTATTAGGAAATGTGATAAGGCAACTAAGCGAGGGGAAGGAGTTTATCAGTTATCGCGATTCGAAATTGACTAGACTGCTCTCACAGGCTCTTGGCGGTAATGCCAAATCATTGATTATCGGGAATGTTACTTTAGCTGCAGAGGAGGAGACTAGATCTACACCAGAATTCGCCCAAAGCACTAAAACTGTCAAAAATAAAACGAAAGTAAACATCTTGTCAGCTACAGAAGAGACACTTCAAGGATATCAGAACTTGACTCGCGATCTCGAAACTCGGCTCAAAAAGCAGGCAATTAAGCTAAAAGAGATGGATAAAAGCAAACAAGAGTATCTGCTCGAGATAGAAAGACTAAAAACGGAAGTATCTATTGTCGGGCGCTTTCAAATGGGAGCCTCGGCATCAACACCGAAAAAAACATTAAGACGTCATACTTTTGGACACTATGGCAACGTATCACCTAAAAAAGCATCCCTAGGGTATATGCCATTGAAAAATTATCCACCCAAAGAAGAATCATCCGGACGTGAAATGAGGCCTATTCAAGAAGAGACATATGAGGAGGCACTAGCCGAAGCAGAATCTGTGATAGCTGAAGACGTGCAAGTGTACTTAAAAGACAACGCAAAGAACTGGAAGAATCTTTCAATGAGCTTAGAGAATTCACTAAACTAGATAATCAGCTGGAGATTTTGGACCTGAAGAAACAGCTCACAGAAGCCAATTCTAAAATCGATCGTTACAGTCAGGAACTCCGCCAAGTAACGGATGCGTACAACGAAGAAATAGAAAGAGTTCAAAAAAATTCTCAAAAAGCGCAAGAATTTCATCGACTTGCAATACAGACTCGATTTTCTGGAAAAAAATAATAAAAAGACTAAAAACATACGAGTCAGAAATAGAGATGCTGCGTACTCAACTGAAGAACCTAGGAAGATCAGAGAGCCCTAAACCATCTCTTGAAGCTCAAAATATTGAGTCAAAAAAGAAGGTTGCAGACTTAGAAGCTATGCTTGACGCTGAGTACGAAGATATGCAAGATTCTTTAAGTGCTGCTACACAAACTGATGTAACGATGTCACACATTGCTGAACTGCAAGATGAAATTGGCTTCCTAAAAGAACTTGAATCTAAACTGAGAAATGACGTAAAGAGTCTGATGGACGAGAGTAACCAACGTGAGGTCAACCACTCATTTAAAATCTCAGATATACGATGCCATAATGATTCTACTATAAAAGAGCTTCAGGATCAAATGGCTGAACTGGAATGCCAAAACGAAATCTGGATTATGAAAAGTGCCCCTCTTTATAACCCGTGAAATAGCCCTAGTTCTAATTAAATTTCAGTTCAAGCTTCCAAAATGACTTCCGACAATATTAAAGTAGCCACAAAGATCAGACCAATGATCCACCGCGAAGTAGCCGATGGTCTAGAGCGTCTTTGGAACGTAAGAGTAAACTGCATATGGGAAGCCGATGAAAGTAGTCGCCATGGAGAGGTTTATATATTCGACCATGTATTTAAGCAGGAATGTACAAATTCAGATGTATATGGATCTGTAGTAAAACCTTTAGTCGATTCCTTCATGGAAGGTTTCAATGCCACAATATTTGCATATGGCCAAACATCTTCTGGCAAAACACACACCATTTTGGGCAATAAAACAGATCCTGGGCTTTTCCAATTAGTATCCAATCAGTTATTCCAGCATGTGGCAGACCAGGTTGATAAGAGGTACTTGATTAGATGCAGTTATATTGAAATCTACAATGAAAAGATCAATGACCTCCTGGATAAGAGCAATCAGGGTTTAACTATAAGAGAAGATATCAAAGGAAATGTGCTGCTTGATGCAAGGGAAGCTGTCGTAGACAATGTTGATAAAGTTATGGAGAACATGATGCAGGGCAATAAGATCAGACGAGTTGCAGCTACTCGCATGAATGAGAGGTCATCTCGATCACACACGATTTTCCGGATTATTCTGGAGTCGAAAGATGCCAATCAGAAAGATGGACCTGTACATATAAGCTACCTTAACTTAATGGACTTAGCTGGTTCTGAGAGAGTTTCTCTGACGAAAGCTGCTGGTGAGCGTCTTAAAGAGGGGGCTAACATAAACAAATCTTTGTCAGTATTAGGAAATGTGATAAGGCAACTAAGCGAGGGGAAGGAGTTTATCAGTTATCGCGATTCGAAATTGACTAGACTGCTCTCACAGGCTCTTGGCGGTAATGCCAAATCATTGATTATCGGGAATGTTACTTTAGCTGCAGAGGAGGAGACTAGATCTACACCAGAATTCGCCCAAAGCACTAAAACTGTCAAAAATAAAACGAAAGTAAACATCTTGTCAGCTACAGAAGAGACACTTCAAGGATATCAGAACTTGACTCGCGATCTCGAAACTCGGCTCAAAAAGCAGGCAATTAAGCTAAAAGAGATGGATAAAAGCAAACAAGAGTATCTGCTCGAGATAGAAAGACTAAAAACGGAAGTATCTATTGTCGGGCGCTTTCAAATGGGAGCCTCGGCATCAACACCGAAAAAAACATTAAGACGTCATACTTTTGGACACTATGGCAACGTATCACCTAAAAAAGCATCCCTAGGGTATATGCCATTGAAAAATTATCCACCCAAAGAAGAATCATCCGGACGTGAAATGAGGCCTATTCAAGAAGAGACATATGAGGAGGCACTAGCCGAAGCAGAATCTGTGATAGCTGAAGACGTGCAAGTGTACTTAAAAGACAACTCAACGAACTGGAAGAATCTTTCAATGAGCTTAGAGAATTCACTAAACTAGATAATCAGCTGGAGATTGTTGGACCTGAAGGAAACAGCTCACAGAAGCCAATTCTAAATTCGATCGTACAGTCCAGGAACTCCGCCAAAGTAACGGATGCGTACAACGAAGAGAAATAGAAAGAGTTCAAAAAAATTCTCAAAAAGCGCAAGAATTTCATCGACTTGCAATACAGACTCGATTTTCTGGAAAAAAATAATAAAAGACTAAAACATAACGAGTCAGAAATAGAGATGCTGCGTACTCAACTGAAGAACCTAGGAAGATCGAGAGCCCTAAACCATCTCTTGAAGCTCAAAATATTGAGTCAAAAAGAAGGTTGCAGACTAGAGCTATGCTTGACGCTGAGTACGAAGATATGCAACATTCTTTAAGTGCTGCTGCACAAACTGACTTGTGACGATGTCACACATTGCTGAACTGCAAGATGAAATTGGCTTCCTAAAAGAAACTTGAATCTAAACTGAGAAATGACGCGTAAAGAGTCTGATGGACGAGAGTAACCAACGTGAGGTCAACCACTCATTTAAAATCTCAGATATACGATGCCATAATGATTCTACTATAAAAAGAGCTTCAGGATCAAATGGCTGAACTGGAATGCCAAAACGAAATCTGGATTATGAAAAGTGCCCCTCTTATAACCCGTGAAATAGCCCTAGTTCTAATTAAATTTCAGATCAAGCTTCCAAAATGACTTCCGACAATATTAAAGTAGCCACAAAGATCAGACCAATGATCCACCGCGAAGTAGCCGATGGTTCTAGAGTCGTCTTTGAACGTAAGAGTAAACTGCATATGGGAAGCCGATGAAAGTAGTCGCCATGGAGAGGTTTATAGATTCGACCATGTATTTAAGCAGGAATGTACAAATTCAGATGTTATGGATCTGTAGTAAAACCTTTAGTCGATTCCTTCATGGAAGGTTTCAATGCCACAATATTTGCATATGGCCAAACATCTTCTGGCAAAACACACACCATTTGGGCAATAAAACAGATCCGGGCTTTTCCAATTAGTATCCAATCAGTTATTCCAGCATGTGGCAGACCAGGTTGATAAGAGGTACTTGATTAGATGCAGTTATATTGAAATCTACAATGAAAAGATCAATGACGTCCTGGATAAGAGCAATCAGGGTTTAACTATAAGAGAAGATATCAAAGGAAATGTGCTGCTTGATGCAAGGGAAGCTGTCGTAGACAATGTTGATAAAGTTATGGAGAACATGATGCAGGGCAATAAGATCAGGACGAGTTGCAGCTACTCGCATGAATGAGAGGTCATCTCGATCACACCACGATTTCCGGATTATTCTGGAGTCGAAAGATGCCAATCAGAAAGATGGAACCTGTACATATTAAGCTACCTTAACTTAATGGACTTAGCTGGTTCTGAGAGAGTTTCTCTGACGAAAGCTGCTGGTGAGCCGTCTTAAAGAGGGGGGCTAACATAAACAAATCTTTGTCAGTATTAGGAAATGTGATAAGGCAACTAAGCGAGGGGAAGGAGTTTATCAGTTATCGCGATTCGAATTGACTAGACTGCTCTCACAGGCTCTTGGCGGGTAATGCCAAATCATTGATTATCGGGAAATGTTACTTTAGCTGCAGAGGAGGAGACTAGATCTACACTAGAATTCGCCCAAAGCACTAAACTGTCAAAATAAACCGAAAGTAAACATCTTGTCAGCTACAGAAGAGACACTTCAAGGATATCAGAACTTGACTCGCGATCTCGAAACTCGGCTCAAAAAGCAGGCAATTAAGCTAAAAGATGGATAAAAGCAAACAAGAGTATCTGCTCGAGATAGAAAGACTAAAAACGGAAGTATCTATTGTCGGGCGCTTTCAAATGGGAGCCTCGGCATCAACACCGAAAAAAATTAAGACGTCATACTTTTGGACACTATGGCAACGTATCACCTAAAAAAGCATCCCTAGGGTATATGCCATTGAAAAATTATCCACCCAAAGAAGAATCATCCGGACGTGAAATGAGGCCTATTCAAGAAGAGACATATGAGGAGGCACTAGCCGAAGCAGAATCTGTGATAGCTGAAGACGTGCAAGTGTACTTAAAAGACAACTCAAAGAACTGGAAGAATCTTTCAATGAGCTCAGAGAATTCACTAAACTAGATAATCAGCTGGAGATTTTGGACCTGAAGAAACAGCTCACAGAAGCCAATTCTAAATTCGATCGTTACAGTCAGGAACTCCGCCAAGTAACGGATGCGTACAACGAAGAAATAGAAAGAGTTCAAAAAAATTCTCAAAAAGCGCAAGAATTTCATCGACTTGCAATACAGACTCGATTTTCTGGAAAAAATAATAAAAAGACTAAAAACATACGAGTCAGAAATAGAGATGCTGCGTACTCAACTGAAGAACCTAGGAAGATCAGAGAGCCCTAAACCATCTCTTGAAGCTCAAAATATTGAGTCAAAAAAGAAGGTTGCAGACTTAGAAGCTATGCTTGACGCTGAGTACGAAGATATGCAATTCTTTAAGTGCTGCTGCACAAACTGATGTAACGATGTCACACATTGCTGAACTGCAAGATGAAATTGGCTTCCTAAAAGAACTTGAATCTAAACTGAGAAATGACGTAAAGAGTCTGATGGACGAGAGTAACCAACGTGAGGTCAACCACTCATTTAAAATCTCAGATATACGATGCCATAATGATTCTACTATAAAAGAGCTTCAGGATCAAATGGCTGAACTGGAATGCCAAAACGAAATCTGGATTATGAAAAAGGACGACGAAATCAGAAATTGCAACAACTAATTACAAACCCGAAGCAGGCTGGCACTTAACCAGAACCACTGTGCAGGAAGACGTTGCATTTTATAGGGAGCAAGTTGAGTTCTCCCAGAACATGTACAAAAATGAGATAATAGGTGGAGAGTTACGTATAAACCATAGAGAAAATCTTCAGCAGTTAAACTAGAATATGTCTACCCTTGTTTAGTGTTTACGATTATTGCAGGGTTTGGACAAAGTTTAGGGCTGATCCCACGCACCACAACGAAGCAGGACTTAAGATTGTGAATCTAGTCCTTGGTAACCGCTCACAGTGTAAATTTTCAGCTAATAATCTGATTCTGAGGGTAACAAAATCAACTAGAACTCTGTAAAAGTGATTTATCAGAAAATCATGCCCTTACTTCCATGATAAGAGGGATTCGTAAAAATTATAAGCAGGTTGTGGCTTATTATCTAGTAAAAAGATAAAAGAATCCCAGATCTGAAAACGATTATTGTTCATGTGATCACAAACTTGCAGCGACTTGGTTTGTGCGTCGTTGGCACTATTTGTAATCGGGGCGCAACGATCAAAAACGCACTTGAGACGATTTGCTCGGAGAATACTCACGGATCAAGTCCATTCCATTTTATAGTCAATGCTCAGAGTATTTCTACAATTTGTGATGAACCACATTTATTCAAAAATGGATGAAATGCTCTTATTGACATTAATATGAAAGTGAAGAAGCTGCACAGCTTGAACATGTCTAGAAAGCATATAATGTTGATCAACAAACAAGACCATACAAAGAGCTATGTAAATTGAAACCCAGCCACTTTGATTTTATAGATTCGTTTAAGAATATAGAAATTAATCCTTTAATGGTATCGTCGGATGATTCGAGCTTTCTCAGTTATGTGGTGGGGCTCCCGTGACTTCTCATACGGTATAAGCACGTATACCTCAAACCACAGTTTAATTTAAACATCACAAGTGTTGGTTTGTTGACTTTGCGGTCAAATTTGATCCGAGGATCAGCTGCGTGTACGATTTGAACTTCCTTCACAATGGATTTTTTCGTTGTTGACGGATGAACAATACACCATAGACTACGCCGAGGACGACGCTGTTAGCGATCAACCTGAACAACTTCCTATGGACGACCTCGCTATGCTTATGGAAAAAACATGTACAATTGGTCAAAACGAGCGCCTGCAACTGGTCGATCCAGACGACAATATATTACGCATTTACCTGAACTAAAGTCCGTGGCAACCAATTTGGAAAATAATAACCCTGTGACTCGAGAAATGCAGATAAATTTCTCCAAATACGTGAAATTTTCGAGACACTCATAGAGAACTGTCGAAATTTTTATTTTTCGGGTGAGTCCCCTACAAAATACGAGATGCTCGTGGGCCGATGTCCTTCCTGTGCCTACAAGAAAACTAAACCGAATAAGTATGGACTGATGATGCAAAGACTCACCACTACCTGCTCAATGCTTTCGTCTATACGAACAGAAATATCACACCAGTAGAATTACATGTAGAATTGCGCATCAACCAACTGACCAACGTCGGCAGGAAGCGTAAAAATAAGTAACAAGTACCCCAACATGTAGTTCCAAATAAGAAGGAAACACAGCCAGGTACTTCTAAGTTTACGTTCACTAGCACTACAGCCTTAGTGTAGTATCTTCCAAAACCAAATACACATGTTCTCGTATAGCAATCTATGCAGCATGATAACAAAATAGTAGAGGAATCAAAGAAACCTGATAAGATTCTATATTATTTTTATAACACTATGAAGGCGGGGGGTAATGCATTAGATCGGAAGTGTGTAAATTACAATACTGGTTAGAGCACGAGAAGATTGCCTTGTGCTATTTGGTATCCAACCAGCTTCTGTAAATTCCTTTTTTTTTCAGTCTGGGACTGAAAGTTCTATTAGGCGACGAAATTTTATTGTTCTCCTGAGGCAAACTCTAATTTAACTTCGTATGAGAGGACGTTTATCAGATCCAAGACTTCCTAGGGAGCTTCGTTCAGCCATGCAAAGAATCCAAAATTACCAACGACGAATAAAGTAAGCCGTCTACTTCTCAGCCCAGAGTTCTCGATCCTGATGCAGTTGATAAAGGGAAAAACGACGTAGGTGTTACATGACAATACACAATGAAAAAAATGTTCTACAATCTGTAATAAGTATGCAAAGTCACAGAGCAGCTACATTGTTTCGTGAAAAGTGATAAATGTGAATTATTGTACGTTTCCTTATACGAGAAAGTATTTGTTTTTGTTGTAGAATATCAACACCAAATATGTTGTTAAATGGCCCATTTTGTTAGTTTTTTATGTTCATATTACAGTTCAAGTTTCGTAAATTATATTTGTTGCATTACTCATCTTCAAATGGGGTATTTTCGTTTTTAGACAATAAACAGTTTTCATGTAAGAGTGTTTTATGCGTACAAACCTGTTGTACACATGGCTAAAAACAGTAATGGCATTTCAGAAGTTGATAGTAAGATCCGGTGGATAACCTGTTTTGCGAGATTAGACGTGGGATTTCCAACACGAACCCCATCTGCTTATTTGCAGCATTAAAAACTGTAATAATCAACAATTTCAGTTTTCCATTGACAATAATGAAGAATTATGAAGGCGATTCATGTAAGGCACTAGGTAACTTCGCGTTGCTTTTAGAAGAGTATTGTCTGAATAGACAACAGTTACCTTGTGATTCTTCACCGAGCTGCATTTTTCAAGTTGAAAAATCGGGTGCTGAAAGTGATGGATCTATAGATTTGTGAGAATTTGCTGCTGCTTCAACTTCTTTTTGTAATAACAATAACAGTCTACATAAAATTTAACAATTCTGTTTCTTCTTTGATTTTGAGTCACCCTGTAAATGTAGCTCTACTAAATTATCGGACCGCATTCATAGCCTACAAGAGAAAAAAATCTTCTATACTGGAAAGGAGGAAAAAAAGAATGTATCAACCTGATACATCTGCCCCTCTTTATAACCCGTGAAATAGCCCTAGTTCTAATTAAATTTCAGTTCAAGCTTCCAAAATGACTTCCGACAATATTAAAGTAGCCATAAAGATCAGACCAATGATCCACCCCGAAGTAGCCGATGGTCTAGAGCGTCTTTGGAACGTAAGAGCAAACTGCATATGGGAAGCCGATGAAAGTAGTCGCCATGGAGAGGTTTATATATTCGACCATGTATTTAACTAGGAATGTACAAATTCAGATGTATATGGATCTGTAGTAAAACCTTTAGTCGATTCCTTCATGGAAGGTTTCAATGCAAAATTTTGCATATGGCCAAACATCTTCTGGCAAAACACACACCATTTTGGGCAATGAAACAGATCCTGGGCTTTTCCAATTAGTATCCAATCAGTTATTCCAGCATGTGGCAGACCAGGTTGATAAGAGGTACTTGATTAGATGCAGTTATATTGAAATCTACAATGAAAAGATCAATGACCTCCTGGATAAGAGCAATCAGGGTTTAACTATAAGAGAAGATATCAAAGGAAATGTGCTGCTTGATGCAAGAGAACCTGTCGTAGACAATGTTGATAAAGTTATGGAGAACATGATGCAGGGCAATAAGATCAGACGAGTTGCAGCTACTCGCATGAATGAGAGGTCATCTCGATCACACACGATTTTCCGGATTATTCTGGAGTCGAAAGATGCCAATCAGAAAGATGGACCTGTACATATAAGCTACCTTAACTTAATGGACTTAGCTGGTTCTGAGAGAGTTTCTCTGACGAAAGCTGCTGGTGAGCGTCTTAAAGAGGGGGCTAACATAAACAAATCTTTGTCAGTATTAGGAAATGTGATAAGGCAACTAAGCGAGGGGAAGGAGTTTATCAGTTATCGCGATTCGAAATTGACTAGACTGCTCTCACAGGCTCTTGGCGGTAATGCCAAATCATTGATTATCGGAAATGTTACTTTAGCTGCAGAGGAGACTAGATCTACACCAGAATTCGCCCAAAGCACTAAAACTGTCAAAAAAACCGAAAGTAAACATCTTGTCAGCTACAGAAGAAGCACTTCAAGGATATCAGAACTTGACTCGCGATCTCGAAACTCGGCTCAAAAATCAGGCAATTAAGCTAGAAGAGATGGAGAAAAGCAAACAAGAGTATCTGCTCGAGATAGAAAGACTAAAAACGGAAGTATCTATTGTCGGGCGCTTTCAAATGGGAGCCTCGTCATCAACACCGAAAAAACATTAAGACGTCATACTTTTGGAGACTATGGCAACGTATCACCTAAAAAAGCATCCCTACGGTATATGCCATTGAAAAATTATCCACCCAAAGAAGAATCATCCGGACGTGAAATGAGGCCTATTCAAGAAGAGACATATGAGGAGGCACTAGCCGAAGCAGAAGTGATAGCTGAAGACGTGCCTGCAAGTGTACTTAAAAGACAACTCAAAGAACTGGAAGAATCTTTCAATGAGCTTAGAGAATTCACTAAACTAGATAATCAGCTGGAGATTTTGGACCTGAAGAAACAGCTCACAGAAGCCAATTCTAAAATCGATCGTTACAGTCAGGAACTCCGCCAAGTAACGGATGCGTACAACGAAGAAATAGAAAGGGTTCAAAAAATTCTCAAAAAGCGCAAGAATTTCATCGACTTGCAATACAGACTCGATTTTCTGGAAAAACATATAAAAAGACTAAAAACATACGAGTCAGAAATAGAGATGCTGCGTACTCAACTGAAGAACCTAGGAAGATCAGAGAGCCCTTAACTATCTCTTGAAGCTCAAAATATTGAGTCAAAAAAGAAGGTTGCAGGCTTAGAAGCTACGCTTGACGCTGAGTATGAAGATATGCAAGATTCTTTAAGTGCTGCTACACAAACTGATGTAACGATGTCACAGATTGCTGAACTGCAAGATGAAATTGGCTTCCTAAAAGAACTTGAATCTAAACTGAGAAATGACGTAAAGAGTCTGATGGACGAGAGTAATCAACGTGAGGTCAACCACTCATTTAAAGTCTCAGATATACGATGCCATAATGATTCTACTATAAAAGAGCTTCAGGATCAAATGGCTGAACTGGAATGCCAAAACGAAATCTGGATTATGAAAAATGACGACGAAATCAGAAAATTGCAACAACTAATTACAAACCCGAAGCTGGCTGGCACTTAACCAGAACCACCTGTGCAGGAAGACGTTGCATTTTATAGGGAGCAAGTTGAGTTCTCCCAGAACATGTACAAAAATGAGATAATAGGTGGAGAGTTACGTATAAACCATAGAGAAAATCTTCAGGCAGTTAAACTAGAAATATGTCTACCCTTGTTTAGTGTTTACGATTATTGCAGGGTATGGACAAAGTTTAGGGCTGATCCCACGGACCACGATAGCACCTAGGACTTAAGATTGTGAATCTAGTCTTGGTAACCGCTCACAGTGTACAATTTTCAGCTAATAAATCTTGAATTCTGAGGTAACAAAATCAACTAGAACTCTGTAAAAGTGATTTATCAGAAATCATGCCCTTACTTCCATGATAAGAGGAATTCGTAAAAATTATAAGCAGGTTGTGGCTTATTATCTAGTAAAAGATACAAGAATCCCAGATCTGAAAACGATTATTGTTCATGTGATCACAAACTTGCAGCGACTTGGTTTGTGCGTCGTTGGCACTATTTGTAATCAGGGCGCAACGATCAAAAACGCACTTGAGACGATTTGCTCGGAGAATACTCACGGATCAAGTCCATTCCATTTTATAGCAATGCTCAGAGTATTTCTACAATTTTTGATGAACCACATTTATTCAAAAATGGATGAAATGCTCTTATTGACATTAATATGAAAGTGAAGAAGCTGCACAGCTTGAACATGTCTAGAAAGCAAATAATGTTGATCAGCAAACAAGACCATACAAGAGCTATGTAAATTGAAACCCAGCCACTTTGATTTTATAGATTCGTTTAAGAATATAGAAATTAATCCTTTAATGGTATCGTCGGGTGATTCGAGCTTTCTCAGTTATGTGGTGGGGGTCCCGTGACTTCTCATACGGTATAAGCACGTATACCTCAAACCACAGTTTAATTTAAACATCACAAGTGTTGGTTTGTTGACTTTGCGGTCAAATTTGATCCGAGGATGTCAGTTGCGTGTACGATTTGAACTTCCTTCACAATGGATTTTTTCGTTGTTGGCGGATGAACAATACACCACGCCGAGGACGACGCTGTTAGCGATCAACCTGAACAACTTCCTATGGGCGACCTCGCTATGCTTATAGAAAAAACATGTACAATTGGTCAAAACAAGCGCCTGCAACTGGTCGATCCAGACGACAATATTATTACGCATTTACCTGAACTAAAGTCCGTGGCAACCAATTTGGAAAATAATAACCCTGTGACTCGAGAAATGCAGATAAATTTCTCCAAATACGTGAAATTTTCGAGACACTCATAGAGAACTGTCGAAATTTTATATTTCGGGTGAGTCCCCTACAAAATACGAGATGCTCGTGGGCCGATGTCCTTCCTGTGCCTACAAGAAACTAAACCGAATAAGTATGGACTGATGATGCAAAGACTCACCACTACCTGCTCAATGCTTTCGTCTATACGAACAGAAATATCACACCAGTAGAATTACATGTAGAATTGCGCATCAACCAACTGACCAATGTCGGCAGGAAGCGTAAAAATAAGTAACAAGTACCCCAACATGTAGTTCCAAATAAGAAGGAAACACAGCCAGGTACTTCTAAGTTTATGTTCACTAGCACTACAGCCTTAGTGTAGTATCTTCCAAAAGCAAATACACATGTTCTCGTATAGCAATCTATGCAGCATGATAACAAAATAGTAGAGGAATCAAAGAAACCTGATAAGATTCTATATTATTTTTATAACACTATGAAGGCGGGGGTAATGCATTAGATCGGAAGTGTGTAAATTACAATACTGGTTAGAGAACGAGAAGATGGCCTTGTGCTATTTGGTATCCAACCAGCTTCTGTAAATTCCTTTTTTTTTCAGTCTGGGACTGAAAGTTCTATTAGGCGACGAAATTTTATTGTTCCCCTGAGCGTTTTATGCGTACAAACCTGTTGTACACATGGCTAAAAACAGTAATGGCATTTCAGAAGTTGATAGTAAGATCCGGTGGATAACCTGTTTTGCGAGATTAGACGTGGGATTTCCAACACGAACACCATCTGCTTATTTGCAGCATTAAAAACTGTAATAATCAACAATTTCAGTTTTCCATTGTCAATAATGAAGAATTATGAAGGCGATTCATGTAAGGCACTAGGTAACTTCGCGTTGCTTTTAGAAGAGTATTGTCTGAATAGACAACAGTTACCTTGTGATTCTTCACCGAGCTGCATTTTTCAAGTTGAAAAATCGGGTGCTGAAAGTGATGGATCTATAGATTTGTGAGAATTTGCTTCTGCTTCAACTTCTTTTTGTAATAACAATAACAGTCTATATGAAATTTAACAATTCTGTTTCTTCTTTGATTTTGAGTCACCCTGTAAATGTAGCTCTACTAAACTATCGGACCGCATTCATAGCCTACAAGAGAAAAAAATCTTCTATACTGGAAAGGAGGAAAAAAAGAATGTATCAACCTGATACATCTGCCCCTCTTTATAACCCGTGAAATAGCCCTAGTTCTAATTAAATTTCAGTTCAAGCTTCCAAAATGACTTCCGACAATATTAAAATAGCCATAAAGATCAGACCAATGATCCACCGCGAAGTAGCCGATGGTCTAGAGCGTCTTTGGAACGTAAGAGAAACTGCATTGGGAAGCCGATGAAAGTAGTCGCCATGGAGAGGTTTATATATTCGACCATGTATTTAACCAGGAATGTACAAATTCAGATGTATATGGATCTGTAGTAAAACCTTTAGTCGATTCCTTCATGGAAGGTTTCAATGCACAATATTTGCATATGGCCAAACATCTTCTGGCAAACACACACCATTTGGGCAATAAAACAGATCCTGGGCTTTTCCAATTAGTATCCAATCAGTTATTCCAGCATGTGGCAGACCAGGTTGATAAGAGGTACTTGATTAGATTCAGTTATATTGAAATCTACAATGAAAAGATCAATGACCTCCTGGATAAGAGCAATCAGGGTTTAACTATAAGGGAAGATATCAAAGGAAATGTGCTGTTGATGCAAGGGAAGCTGTCGTAGACAATGTTGATCAAGTTATGGAGAACATGATGTAGGGCAATAAGATCAGACGAGTTGCAGCTATTCGCATGAATGAGAGGTCATCTCGATCACACACGATTTTCCGGATTATTCTGGAGTCGAAAGATGCCAATCAGAAAGATGGACCTGTACATATAAGCTACCTTAACTCAATGGACTTAGCTGGTTCTGAGAGAGTTTCTCTGACGAAAGCTGCTGGTGAGCATCTTAAAGAGGGGGCTAACATAAACAAATCTTTGTCAGTATTAGGAAATGTGATAAGGCAACTAAGCGAGGGGAAGGAGTTTATCAGTTATCGCGATTCGAAATTGACTAGACTGCTCTCACAGGCTCTTGGCAGTAATGCCAAATCATTGATTATCGGGAATGTTACTTCAGCTGCAGAGGAGGAGACTAGATCTACACTAGAATTCGCCCAAAGCACTAACACTGTCAAAAATAAACCGAAAGCAAACATCTTGTCAGCTACAGAAGAGGCACTTCAAGGATATCAGAACTTGACTCGCGATCTCGAAACTCGGCTCAAAAAGCAGGCAATTAAGCTAGAAGAGATGGAAAAGCAAACAAGAGTATCTGCTCGAGATAGAAAGACTAAAAACGGAAGTATCTATTGTCGGGCGCTTCCAAATGGGAGCCTCGGCATCAACACCGAAAAAAACATTAAGACGTCATACTTTTGGACTATGGCAACGTATCACCTAAAAAAGCATCCCTACGGTATATGCCATTGAAAAATTATCCACCCGAAGAAGAATCATCCGGACGTGAAATGAGGCCTATTCAAGAAGAGACATATGAGGAGGCACTAGCCGAAGCAGAATCTGTGATAGCTGAAGACGTGCAAGTGTACTTAAAAGACAACGCAAAGAACTGGAAGAATCTTTCAATGAGCTTAGAGAATTCACTAAACTAGATAATCAGCTGGAGATTTTGGACCTGAAGAAACAGCTCACAGAAGCCAATTCTAAAATCGATCGTTACAGTCAGAACTCCGCCAAGTAACGGATGCGTACAACGAAGAAATAGAAAGAGTTCAAAAAAATTCTCAAAAAGCGCAAGAATTCATCGACTTGCAATACAGACTCGATTTTCTGGAAAAAAATAATAAAAGACTAAAAACATACGAGTCAGAAATAGAGATGCTGCGTACTCAACTGAAGAACCTAGGAAGATCAGAGAGCCCTAAACCATCTCTTGAAGCTCAAAATATTGAGTCAAAAAAGAAGGTTGCAGACTTAGAAGCTATGCTTGACGCTGAGTACGAAGATATGCAAGATTCTTTAAGTGCTGCTACACAAACTGATGTAACGATGTCACACATTGCTGAACTGCAAGATGAAATTGGCTTCCTAAAAGAACTTGAATCTAAACTGAGAAATGACGTAAAGAGTCTGATGGACGAGAGTAACCAACGTGAGGTCAACCACTCATTTAAAATCTCAGATATACGATGCCATAATGATTCTACTATAAAAGAGCTTCAGGATCAAATGGCTGAACTGGAATGCCAAAACGAAATCTGGATTATGAAAAGTGCCCCTCTTTATAACCCGTGAAATAGCCCTAGTTCTAATTAAATTTCAGTTCAAGCTTCCAAAATGACTTCCGACAATATTAAAGTAGCCACAAAGATCAGACCAATGATCCACCGCGAAGTAGCCGATGGTCTAGAGCGTCTTTGGAACGTAAGAGTAAACTGCATATGGGAAGCCGATGAAAGTAGTCGCCATGGAGAGGTTTATATATTCGACCATGTATTTAAGCAGGAATGTACAAATTCAGATGTATATGGATCTGTAGTAAAACCTTTAGTCGATTCCTTCATGGAAGGTTTCAATGCCACAATATTTGCATATGGCCAAACATCTTCTGGCAAAACACACACCATTTTGGGCAATAAAACAGATCCTGGGCTTTTCCAATTAGTATCCAATCAGTTATTCCAGCATGTGGCAGACCAGGTTGATAAGAGGTACTTGATTAGATGCAGTTATATTGAAATCTACAATGAAAAGATCAATGACCTCCTGGATAAGAGCAATCAGGGTTTAACTATAAGAGAAGATATCAAAGGAATGTGCTGCTTGATGCAAGGGAAGCTGTCGTAGACATGTTGATAAAGTTATGGAGAACATGATGCAGGGCAATAAGATCAGACGAGTTGCAGCTACTCGCATGAATGAGAGGTCATCTCGATCACACACGATTTTCCGGATTATTCTGGAGTCGAAAGATGCCAATCAGAAAGATGGACCTGTACATAAGCTACCTTAACTTAATGGACTTAGCTGGTTCTGAGAGAGTTTCTCTGACGAAAGCTGCTGGTGAGCGTCTTAAAGAGGGGGCTAACATAAACAAATCTTTGTCAGTATTAGGAAATGTGATAAGGCAACTAAGCGAGGGGAAGGAGTTTATCAGTTATCGCGATTCGAAATTGACTAGACTGCTCTCACAGGCTCTTGGCGGTAATGCCAAATCATTGATTATCGGGAATGTTACTTTAGCTGCAGAGGAGGAGACTAGATCTACACCAGAATTCGCCCAAAGCACTAAAACTGTCAAAAATAAAACGAAAGTAAACATCTTGTCAGCTACAGAAGAGACACTTCAAGGATATCAGAACTTGACTCGCGATCTCGAAACTCGGCTCAAAAAGCAGGCAATTAAGCTAAAAGAGATGGATAAAAGCAAACAAGAGTATCTGCTCGAGATAGAAAGACTAAAAACGGAAGTATCTATTGTCGGGCGCTTTCAAATGGGAGCCTCGGCATCAACACCGAAAAAAACATTAAGACGTCATACTTTTGGACACTATGGCAACGTATCACCTAAAAAAGCATCCCTAGGGTATATGCCATTGAAAAATTATCCACCCAAAGAAGAATCATCCGGACGTGAAATGAGGCCTATTCAAGAAGAGACATATGAGGAGGCACTAGCCGAAGCAGAATCTGTGATAGCTGAAGACGTGCAAGTGTACTTAAAAGACAACGCAAAGAACTGGAAGAATCTTTCAATGAGCTTAGAGAATTCACTAAACTAGATAATCAGCTGGAGATTTTGGACCTGAAGAAACAGCTCACAGAAGCCAATTCTAAAATCGATCGTTACAGTCAGGAACTCCGCCAAGTAACGGATGCGTACAACGAAGAAATAGAAAGAGTTCAAAAAAATTCTCAAAAAGCGCAAGAATTTCATCGACTTGCAATACAGACTCGATTTTCTGGAAAAAAATAATAAAAAGACTAAAAACATACGAGTCAGAAATAGAGATGCTGCGTACTCAACTGAAGAACCTAGGAAGATCAGAGAGCCCTAAACCATCTCTTGAAGCTCAAAATATTGAGTCAAAAAAGAAGGTTGCAGACTTAGAAGCTATGCTTGACGCTGAGTACGAAGATATGCAAGATTCTTTAAGTGCTGCTACACAAACTGATGTAACGATGTCACACATTGCTGAACTGCAAGATGAAATTGGCTTCCTAAAAGAACTTGAATCTAAACTGAGAAATGACGTAAAGAGTCTGATGGACGAGAGTAACCAACGTGAGGTCAACCACTCATTTAAAATCTCAGATATACGATGCCATAATGATTCTACTATAAAAGAGCTTCAGGATCAAATGGCTGAACTGGAATGCCAAAACGAAATCTGGATTATGAAAAGTGCCCTCTTTATAACCCGTGAAATAGCCCTAGTTCTAATTAAATTTCAGTTCAAGCTTCCAAAATGACTTCCGACAATATTAAAGTAGCCACAAAGATCAGACCAATGATCCACCGCGAAGTAGCCGATGGTCTAGAGCGTCTTTGGAACGTAAGAGTAAACTGCATATGGGAAGCCGATGAAAGTAGTCGCCATGGAGAGGTTTATATATTCGAGACCATGTATTTAAGCAGGAATGTACAAATTCAGATGTATATGGATCTGTAGTAAAACCTTTAGTCGATTCCTTCATGGAAGGTTTCAATGCCACAATATTTGCATATGGCCAAACATCTTCTGGCAAAACACACACCATTTTGGGCAATAAAACAGATCCTGGGCTTTTCCAATTAGTATCCAATCAGTTATTCCAGCATGTGGCAGACCAGGTTGATAAGAGGTACTTGATTAGATGCAGTTATATTGAAATCTACAATGAAAAGATCAATGACCTCCTGGATAAGAGCAATCAGGGTTTAACTATAAGAGAAGATATCAAAGGAAATGTGCTGCTTGATGCAAGGGAAGCTGTCGTAGACAATGTTGATAAAGTTATGGAGAACATGATGCAGGGCAAGATCAGACGAGTTGCAGCTACTCGCATGAATGAGAGGTCATCTCGATCACACACGATTTCCGGATTATTCTGGAGTCGAAAGATGCCAATCAGAAAGATGGACCTGTACATATAAGCTACCTTAACTTAATGGACTTAGCTGGTTCTGAGAGAGTTTCTCTGACGAAAGCTGCTGGTGAGCGTCTTAAAGAGGGGGCTAACATAAACAAATCTTTGTCAGTATTAGGAAATGTGATAAGGCAACTAAGCGAGGGGAAGGAGTTTATCAGTTATCGCGATTCGAAATTGACTAGACTGCTCTCACAGGCTCTTGGGGTAATGCCAAATCATTGATTATCGGGAATGTTACTTTAGCTGCAGAGGAGGAGACTAGATCTACACCAGAATTCGCCCAAAGCACTAAAACTGTCAAAAATAAAACGAAAGTAAACATCTTGTCAGCTACAGAAGAGACACTTCAAGATATCAGAACTTGACTCGCGATCTCGAAACTCGGCTCAAAAAGCAGGCAATTAAGCTAAAAGAGATGGATAAAAGCAAACAAGAGTATCTGCTCGAGATAGAAAGACTAAAAACGGAAGTATCTATTGTCGGGCGCTTTCAAATGGGAGCCTCGGCATCAACACCGAAAAAAACATTAAGACGTCATACTTTGGACACTATGGCAACGTATCACCTAAAAAAGCATCCCTAGGG